ACCGTTTTGTCTTCTCTTTGCAGTGCTTAATCGATTTGAAACCAAGTCTAACGTAGCTTAAATTTACAACACATTCACGCACCTTTCTCTGTGGTATTTTTGCAGTGACAAATGAAGTTGGATGTTGTGGTGGTCGTGTCATGATCGTTATGCTGCAGACCCTGCATACCGCTGTTCTCTTCTTATTAGCGTCATCGACAACATAATCCTTGGATCCAAACTTCACTATTTTTGGAGTAACGCTAGCCGCTGCCATGTTAACTGACACTCCTGCCGTCTAGTGGGTTGCCAGGTTTGCGCGCATGGCGCTATAATCACGTTTTTCGAAAAAACTAAATGTAATATCTTAATAAAAAAACAAACGCAAATATTTAATTTTAAAAAGTCAAGTCCTTTCAAGTCATCTGTCTCAAGCTTAAGTCAAGTCTCAAGTCATGAATACCAAGTCAAAGTCAAGTCAAGTCTTTTATCAATGTTAGTCAAGCAAGTCTCAAGTCCAAAAATATGCGACTCGAGTCCGACTCGAGTCAAGTCATGTGACTCGAGTCCCCACCTCTGGTAAATAGGAAGTTGTTTTAATGAATGAGCACAATAAAGTTTGCAACAAACCGCCACAATCAAAACAAAAAGGCCACAAAGTCACTGGTTTAAATAAGTAAACAAAGGAACTAAGGGAGACTCTTTAAATAAGAATTTGCAAGTTTTAGACAAACAAAATAGCTAACAAACAAAATAACCTAAAGAAAACCTCACTTCTAAAGTGAAATAAAAAGAATAAGACTAACAAAAATAGGCAGTCACCAAAACACAGCCTGGGTACAAGTTAACCACAGTTAACGTTTGTATTACAAGATACACAGAGTTATAAGAACAAGCACAACTATACACACAACCTAGTTAACAACTGTTAACAGAAACTAGCACTGCATGTACAGAGAGAGTACCGAGAGACGTCTGCCACAGATTCAGACCTCTCTCGACAGACTGAGGTGCACACATTCTTGTATATGTCCCGGAAGGTGTGTGCGGGGATTGGAGAGTCAGGCCCGGCATGCTCCAATCCAGATCTTCCGTCACGCCTACCGGGGGAGGGACAGGAAGCTGGCATCCAATGGTGTCTTGGCAACGGCACAGCTTATATACATATAACACACAGCTGCAAACACTTATTGAAAGGTTAATGGGCAGATAGAAGGCGGTGGCCGTAACAACCAGTCTACATGTCAGCCCTGCAGTCTACATGTCAATTTGTCATCAGGCAAGATACAAAAGCCTTACTTTTAGTGAATGTTAGCCTTTCCTGAGCAGGTGGCACCTTGTGTGTATGAATGTGTGTTAATGCTGACCTGTTTATGTAAAAAGATATATCAGGGGTTGCAAAGACCGGAAAAGTGCTGTACATGGATGTACAAAGAGAACTTGATACAGTGTCGGAGGCTGGGCCCTGTTCAGAGTACGAAAGTTGCCAAAATGGCCTGACTTGCGCACTTGCGTTTTCCTTGAGCCCCGCCTCCAATCCGCAGTGTCAAAGCCACTTACGGGTAAGTCAAATGAATGGAGTATAACTCTGGATTCGGGTTTAGCACATTTTAAAACTTCTAGGCCTTGATGATTCAAATAAAGACTATTTCAGTGATCATGCTGGGTGGTTGATTTAACTAACAATTATACTTATACTCTCCGTTATGGGTTAACTAATATTAAAGTGTAAAAATCTGCTCAGTTCCGCTTTAACAAGCAAACATGTGCACTATCCTGGATTCATCAAAAGAAAACAGAAACATGAATAAGCCTCAACAGCAAAGAAAAGCATTAGAAGACCAGTGCACTTACTTCAATTCGATTACATACATTAAACAGGAAGTGCACTAACCTACAGTATATGAGCATGTTTCTAAGAAAGACCTGTGCAGGTAAAGAAAATAAAGACCAAGGCTTTTATTTGAGTATATATGGTATACAACATGTTAAGTACCAGCTATTTGCTCCTATCCCCCCCACCTCCTATCTTTGTTTCTCTGTGCTCGTGCCTACTTTCCACAGCTTGAGTAAACACTGCCAACTCTTTCATTAGCCCTCTCACCACAGTCTCTCTTTTACTCTGCATTTCTTTCATCCCCTCGCACTCTGTCTCTACACGCCTCTGTTTAAACAGATGAATGTGATTAGAGGCAGCTTTAAATGACATTGGAAGTTTGTGTGTTTAATGACTCAAATAAAAGGCACGGTTATTATGTTTAAAGAAAGGCCCTAATGTGACGTCTGTGAGTGCAGCTCTGTATACTCTGTGACACTCAAGCAACTCTATTGAGTTTATTTTATCGGGCAGATTTACAGATGATTGACTGTAATGTGTGGATAATGGAGTGGTGCTCTCTGCATTAACACTAGCGGACCTGGGGGCCACAAAACACATCTGGGTTCACAATTTACTCATTGACAAATGTGAGGGAGTTCCTCCTTGCCATGCATATTGTATTACTTTTGTTTCTTGTAAAAGTGTTAATAGTTTGGTAAGCCTAATTTACGTGCAATAGCACAGCTTTGTTCTCACCCAATGTTCTCTGTAGGAATCTTCAATGCCACTGTTTTCACCACAGAGGCAGGGAAGCTGCTGTTAGAGGAAGACGTTAACAAAGTAAGCTAGCCAACAGAATGCCTTTTTATTTTGACTTTTGGGTAAAAGAAAATACCTTACTATTGAGGCCTTTGGATTAATAACTCAAGAACAAAAATAAAGTTTGTCTTTAATTAAAGAAATAACAGGTCAGGCACAAGAGTAGCTTCAGTGAAAGACTAATTTCACCAAGATTCACCAAAGTGCCACAGGAAGCCATTGCCTGTGGCCATAAAGAGGACATATTATGCTTTGGGTGTTTTCCCTTTCCTGTATTGTGTTTTTTTGTGCATGTAAATGGTCTGGAAAGGCTTACATTAAAAGTTGACTTCACTATGTAACACTCTCGCTCCTATTGGCCAGCGCTCCAACACACGTGATATGCTAAGGAGTGGGACATTTCCGACACATCTCTGAGTGGTTGACCAATCAGAACAGAGCCAGACAGCTAACCAATCAGAGCAGACTGGACTCTGGTTTCAGACAGGGTGAAAAGAGATGCTGCAGCGGAAATTGTTTTCATTAAGATCACATTTGTATTACCTCATTATCCAACCATTATCAACAATTCTAAAAACTGTAATACTCTTTTTTATGCTGCAGCTAAAGCCTGTGTACAAAATGATTTATTTACAGTCATTTAAATCAATGTCTTAATAATTTATTGATGGCATAAGTATCACTGATCACGTCAAACAGGTGAATAAAATTGAAATGTATTCCAATTATTGTCATCAAATATTCATTTTAGGACTCGTTAGATGTGGGTCAAGGCTGTCACTTTTTATTTGAAATGTTAACGACTGTTGGAACACGGGGTGAATATTAAATACACAATGTGTAATCATCTGTTTGATCTAACTGCAAAAAGCCGTGCCTTGTTCTCAGTGTGGGGCTTTTCCTAAAATACACTGTCCATCTGTTAGAGTAAAAACACATCTGACAGAGGTTTGAAATAATAATTCCTAAATGTATTTAACGCTTTTCACATTCTGGCACATTGGAATGAACTGTATTAAAGAGACCCTAGTTTTGCATGTAAATGGTCTGCAAAGGCTAAAATCCCAACATTCAACACACTTTTCTCTCCCACACCCAATTTTTGGTAATTATTAGTGAATAAAGGTTTTGATTTGCAATATTTATACAATTTGTATAAATATTGCAAATCAAAACCTTTATTCACTAATAATTACCAAAAATTGGGTGTGGGAGAGAAAAGTGTGTTGAATGTTGGGATTTTAGCCTTTNTAAACTCAAGGCCCGGGGGCCAAATCAGGCCCTTGGTGGATTTAATTTCGGCCCGCAGGATAATTTCTAATTACTATTAGATCTGGCCCGCCGGTATATTGCACACACACCTTCACTCAATCCTGAGGGTTTCCTCAGCTCAGAGCCTGAGCCCAAACATGGATGAACTTGCACCCAAGATGAGATGCCAAGTATCTGAGCTAGCATCACAGAGCAGCACACTGAGTTTAATGGATGTTTCCTTCTGCACTTTCTCTCTCAGGACAACAGGGCATGTTTGGTTTGTTCTTTGAGGGAAATAGTTTTGTTGAAGCTGTTGTTGGCCTGTGGAAAAATGTAATCATAAGAAATTACTGAGGAAAATCTGCAGATAGAGCCATAAGAAATGAATGCAACTGATTATTTAATGTTTGATGTTTCTTTAGGCGATAATTTAAGCTTTGTTAGTTCCAGGTTTAATATGTGTAATAAACATTGAACCAGTCCGGCCCTCGACTAGTACCCATTGTTTTATTTTGGCCCACTGTGTATTTGAGTTTGACACCCCCTGGTATTCTTTGAGTAATACAACTTGCCTGTTATGTGTATGATTATAGCAGCCCTTTATTTAAAAATGTTTAATCATACTTTCTCTTTTAATTTAAGATCCTTATGTTGGAAAAGCTCCGCCTGAGTGCCTGGAAGAAAACCTCAGTCAGTGCCGAAGAGAAGGAGAAAGAAGCGAGAGACGCCCCCAAAATGTTTGAGAACAATGTGCCATCTGTGACCAAAGGAGTGAAATTCGCTGTGAGCACATTTCAATGATTTATAATATTTCATGTCGTGTAAATAATAATAATATATCTTTCTTTGGTTAAGATCAACATGTTTCTGATCACACAAAAAACAATATTGGACTTCTCTCTGTCTTTCATTTCTCGATGAGCCTTTCATTAAATAAAATATGTATCTGTGACTAGTACAATGTGGAGGGGAGAGATGATCTGTGATTTATGTTGTTTGTTAGCATTATTACAGCATCAGTCTTTTTGATGGCATGCCATTGAACCCTCTGTGTTTTCAGCTCCCTCTGGACTCCAGAAGAAGCAGCTGTGCAGCAGCCATGAGACGAGGCTCCAGAGACACTCAGGGAGCTACAGGTACGCTCAGGAGCTTCAGTCCATTCTCAGGAACACAACACAGACACTATCATCACATTTTTGAGGACTAAGATATCTGGCTCATTGGTTTTGTAACTACAGGTTTTTGCAGCCCGCTAACTTAATAAGGTTGCTTTGATTAAGACTCAAATGAAGTATTGATGAAAATAAACTGTATTATAGACGTGCTGTGCTTTGCCTTGTAAAAAACGATTCGAGTGTCGTGTTCCCCAAAGTTCTGACTTCAAGGCAGCTATAATCCTTTTCTTCACAAACAAGGGATCACATGACTATTTGCTGTGTGTGAGGATGAACCAATGTTAAGTATCACCCGACTCTTCAGTTCCCATCAGCTCTACAGTGCTCTATAATGACTTCCAGCTCCCAGCGTTACTGTTTCAGTGAGCTCCCACTGCTCCGTGTCCTTTTCACCCACAGCTAATAGCTATCGTCAGTTCAAAGCTGTGATAACGCACCAAACAGCAGACAGAGCAAGTGAGTGAATGACTAGCTGGGGAGCTGAGTGTTGAGCCACTGAAGAACCAGGTATTTCCCTCAGGAGTCGGTTTGACACAAAGCTAATATTGAGTTATTGGACTTACTGATATACCTCCCAAATACTTGTCTCCACGATAAAACCCTCAACATTGTGATGGATTACAGATTTGTTTTTTGTTTGGTTTGTCACCAGCGATGAAGAGCAGCCTGAGGAGGCCATCAGGCTGCGGACCCTCCTCCTCTTTCCTCCTCCTCTTCCTCCTCCTTGCTGCCTGTCAGAAGGTCGACTCCTGCCAGCTCGAGTCAGGACACATCCCCAAATCAAGAATCCTCCAGCAGCAGCAGCAGCTCTCCCGTGAGAGACGTGGTGAGTGCTGCTCTCTCTTCTCCGGTAAAACATCAAACTTTTTAATGAGATTTTATTTGTATTTCTGAAATATTTTGGACTTTTTATTTCTTGTCTTAATTTCTCTTATTCACACATTGCCTTTTTTTACGCAACGCAAAACATTCCCAAATTGGGATCAATAAAATACTTCTATCTATGTGTCTATCCATGCATCTATCTCTCTCTCATCCATCCATCCATCCACCTATCCATCTCTCTTTCCATCTATCCATCCATCCCTCTCTATCCATCCACCTTTCTCTCTATCTATCTATCCATCTCTCGCTCTCTCAGAAAATAAAGAACTTTATCACAATATTCTAATTTTCTGAGACAGTCCTGTATATCCATCCATCCATCTCTCTCTCTCTCTCTCTATCCACCCATCTCTCTACCATCTATCCATCTATCTCTATCCATCCATCTCTCTATCCATCCATTCATCCAACCACCTATCTATCTATCTCTATCCATCCATCTCTCTCTATCCATCTATCCATCCATCCCCATCTCTCCATCTATCTCTGACCTTAGAGGTGGTCAGCCCGACACAAATAGATCCTCTCATTCTCATTCTCTTTAGGATCTTGTCCTTGTTTGTGGTCGTGGGGTCTGTTGCAGCCCGCTGCTGTAAACCAGGGCTCAGTCACGGTTTCATATTTCTGTTTCTATCCTCTTATCGTAGACAATGCAATCCCTACCTCAAGAGCCAGAGTGCAGCGAGGCCCACGAGCCAGAATCTGATCAGGTCATTACACACCCCGATGGGAAGGTGAGGAAGTGGAAATATTTGTCATTTTCCACATCACAGAATATATCTTGAAAAGTGAAAACGTCTGGATATGTTCACAACATTAAGGAGGACATAGCACAACAGGGATCTGCAGCTTTCCTCAGTAACATAAGATGTGTAGTTTGTTTGCATCAATCTGTAAACAGCTGGATGGAACATTGATAGAAGACTTAAATAAGAAGTTGTTCTGCAGTGGTTTGTTGGCTATGAGTTCCTGAATGGAGTGTGATGCTTCTGATCTCAGACAGAGACGGTTCTGGCCGGAGGCGATCGTCTCTTCGTCTTCCCCAACGGGACGAAGAAGGAGGTCTCAGCGGACGGACTGACGGTCAAAGTCACGTTCTTCAACAGAGACACCAAGGAGGTCACAGCCGACCAGAGAGTGGTGAGGACTTTGACTTAGGTCGCATTTACACTAGTCCGGTTGAATCGAACCCTGGTGCGTTTCGTTTGGGTTTATGTGAACGCAGTCCGAGACCTCCGAAGTGAACTAAACAACCGGACTCTGGTCCGCCTAAAAGAGGTGGTCTCGGACCGCTTGCTAGTGAACTCTGGAGCGGTTCATCGCTGGTGTGAATGCAGTCCGCACCAAAACACAGGAAGCAAGCGTCACAAGAACGCGGATGTCTTCAAAATCTTTCACTAAAGATTTTGAAGACATCCGCTGTTAGTGAAAGAATGAAGTGTTGAACAGTGTCGTGTAAAGTAAAAATGCTCCGTCAACTATACAATCAAGTCAGAGCCACCTGTCGTCGGTGAAACCCCCTCCTTACTGCAGAACGTCTCATGTGTTATGTTTTCGAATGGACGTTGTCTGATTATATAATCATATGCCGCTAGTGTCTGTTGATCTCCAGATTAACAGCAGCATGAACATAACCTGCCGATGCTCCATGACGGAGGCTCCGGTAGAAATTGCAGTGATTTGCGTTTTTACCCCCTTAATGTCTGACCAATGGTTGAACAGCATTTCCGTGCACTTGACTTGTGTTTAAAGTTTATAGTCCGTTTGAGTTTTGCTGGTGTGGTGTGAACACAAACCGAACCTTCTGAAAAATGTAACAAACTGTCTGGTGCGCACCAGAAAACGGACTATTAGGTGTGAATGCGACCTTATTCTAAATGTATCTGGTTTGAACACAAACTACTCTCCTGCATCTGCACCGGTTAAATGTGACCAACGTCTACCTATCCAATACGCATGTATAAAACCGTTCTCTCCTCACAGATCTATTACTACGCCGAGGCTCAGACGTCACACATCACATACCCAGATGGTATCGAGGTGCTGCACTTCCCCAACAACCAGACTGGTGAGTCCGTGAGGAAACCAGTAAAGTAGTTGCCGCTCTGTAAAATAATGTTTACCTTATTATTAGATGATACTTATTGAGGCATCAGTGTGTAACGTACGCTGCCGAATAAATGTAGTAAGTCAGAAAACAAAACAATATGTTCCTCAGAAATGTAGTTCAGAGGAAGTATCAACCTCCATAACTTCAGATGTAGATATTCTAAGGTAACTTCCACCAATGGATTTTATATATAGAAATGTATTTATTAGGATAAACCCCTTGAGATACACCATCTCGTTTTCAAGGGGGTCCCGATTTATTCAAAACTGAAAAGTTTATCTTATGGTTAAAACTTTTATATATTTGGCATTAAATGAAAAAAATCATGTATGTTCGTAGTGGCTTAGCTTGTATTGGCAAAATAAAAGTAAAACGCAGGTAATTGATGATTACTATGTTCCACACATTAATACTTTGTTTTATTTCACCCTCAGAAAAACTTTTCCCAGACGGCCGTAAAGAAATCACGTTCCCAGACCAGACTGTGAAGAACCTGTTTCCCAACGGCCGGGAGGAGAGCGTTCTGACGGACGGGACCGTCATTCAGGTCAACTCGTAAGTTCAGAGCTGTTATTACTGCGTCTGTTTTTACTACTAATGAACATTGCTTTCCGCCGAATGGGAGTATTTAAAGGTCAACTATTATGCAAAATCCACTTTTTCATGTATTTTCTAAATCAACATGTGTCCCCTCTCCTTCATGTCTCTTCTACATCAACATGTGTCCCCTCTTCTTCATGTCTCTTCTACATCAACATGTGTCCCCTCTTCT